TCAGCAGAAAGCAGTGGGAAGCCAAGGCAGTCAGCTGGAGTCCTGAAGGCAGAGTTCTGGGTAGTGCAGCCCCTGCATTCTTTCCGTGGATGAGCTTCTGGCCTCCTGTTCCCACTGCTGGCATGTTTATCCTATAGCAGAAATAATAGCAACCTCATAGTCTGCCTTCTTGTTGTCTACAGTATTGTCAATGCCCTTAGATGCTTGCTGCTTTCCTTCTTCCTTGGTCAGGAAGCTTTTTGCAGGATAAAAGGGAGGGGATCCTTGCTTCCAATGTCTGCTTTTTTCTCCTTTTTATTAGTTTCATGAGAATTTCATCCATAATGAATTTTGATCACATTCATTCCCTTCCCGCAAGGCCTGCAAGATCTGCCTCTTACCTCCCCTTCCAACTCTTACGTCCTTAAAAAAAAGTTTATCTAGTTCTGTTTGTGCTGCCTGTATCCTCTTGTGTGTGTGTGTGTCTTCTTCCACAACGATCCCTGAGACTTGGGAAGAGGGCTTGTGATGTGGTCGTCCCATTTAGGGTGGAGAATTCTGCTCTCGTTCATTCTCTCACCTCGATACATTGTGGATCCCTGTGTCAATGAGATCAACCACAAAAAGAAGTTTCTCTGATGGGGGTTGAGAGATATACCGCTCTGGAACAATTAGTCTTTGAGAGTCAGTTTAATATGATGTCTATGTAGTAGAATAAGAGTGGAGGTTCTTCCTCAGGGTCTATGGTCTGTGTAGCCCCAGGCTCTTGATGTTTTCAACATCAAGGCTTTAGATAGCACATGACAATTTACCTTTATACTGTGCAATATATTTGGCCTTTAAGCTGTTTATGTGATGTTATAGACTTTTGGAAGTTTATATTGTAATATACAAAGAAGATTGATTTAATACAAGTGGGGCCAAATTCATGCAAAAGCTAGCTAACCATAAGCTGCTATTTTTCTCATAGTCATGTCTTTTTTCTTGTCCGGTTAGCTTGTCTATCTCACGTCCAGCTGCAAGATCATTCATTTGCTCAAAGGTTTAACATTTTAAGACAAGATCTCCTGAGTAAATTGGGAGCATGGGGACCTTGGGAGAGGGTTGAAGGGGAAGGAATAGGCAGGGAAAGGGGGCAGAAAAAATGTAGAACTCAATAAAAATCAATTAAAAAGTTTAAAATTTTAATATTTAATTTACAAACTTATTTTAATCATAACACACCCCACTCCTCCAGCAGTTGGGTTCCAGTTCTTTGGAGTACGGTGTGATGAATACTTTTGGCAGCTTCAGAGCTTTATAAGGACATCAGTGAGAGGACTACAGGGCTCCTCTCTAGGGGGCACTAAGAAGAAGTGGAACATATGGTATTTAGGATCAGGGACGTCAGACGCTCCAGTTGCCCTTGGTGGGAAGTGACCATGGTGGCCAAGGATTGGCGTCCCTTAGTCAGCCTTGTTTGAAATTTTAGAACTCAGAATCTGGCTAATATCTATCCACAAATGAACAGAAGCCAAGGGCACAAAGCAAATTAAAAGATCCAATGTAAGGCCTGATGTCTCAGCACTCAGACTGGGAGGGACAGGACAATATATCGGTGCATAGCAGTTTGCTGAGCTCTGGAAGTGGGGAACCCAATCCGCTATCTAAGGAGCCAGGAGGCACCTTGCCTAGCCTCTTACGTCCATTCAGTGTTAAGCAAAAGCTTACTGTCGAGGTAATGAATGCCAGTGCTTATTGTTGGTGGTAATTCTGAGCTCGCGATTGTGTGCAGTTTAACATAATCATTACTAACAATGACTGACAACAGCAACAGGAAACCAACGCCCTTTCTTTGGCGCTATACCAAGAACTGAAGATGGACTTTCCTCTCTCATCCCAGCATTCGGGAGACGGAGATGGAATTTCAAGATTAAGTATAACCTGGGCTACATAGTAAAACCACAGCTGTGTAAATAAGAAAGGCAAGGAAAGAGTGATGATCTCTGACTCCAAAAGCATACAGACTTGTGGGAAGACAGGCTGTGGAGACAGAGTGGTGACTCTGCACAGAAGGGTTCAGAAAGATTTCACAGAGGAAGAAGCAACTTTGTGCTGAGAACCATGTAGGTATGAGTTTGCAGATTCGGGGCTGCTATGCGGTGGTTAGAACAGGGTGCTGCTGTGTGCAAGGCCAGCTTTTCTCTACTGGTGCCTCATCATTAATTTTAGTTTGACAACGCTTGTTCTGCGCTGTGTGCGTGAGACTGCACTGTGCCAACTCTCCTTCGTTCCCTCTCTAACGCCTTATCAGGTCATCATTGGTTGGCTGCCTACTGTGCGTCAGTCACCATGTTGGTTCCTGGGGACATAGAAGATAGGGGGCTGATATGATGCCTCACTATAGATCTTTTAGTTTAATGAGGAATCTGGGAGGTGAGCCTATTATGTTAGAAGCCTGGGGCAGTGGGTGCTGGGCCAGGGAGGCTAATCTAGCAGAAGTATGTTTATTTCTTTGGACTACAAACATAGCGGCCTCAAAGAGCAATTTATAATTATTAGCTGTTTTTTTTTTCTGGAGGCTGTAGGGGAGAACCATTTTCTAGTGGGACCGTATCTCTTGGCTCACAGCTTCACTCCAACCTCTGCTTTTGCCTTTATTCTCCACTCGCATGGCTGTCCCATGGTCCTGTGACCACACCCACAGTCTAGGATAGTCTCCTCACTTCAGCATCTTTGCCCACATCTTGTCACATAAGGTAATGTCTTCGCAGGTGTTGGGTTAAAGTGTGGGTATCTTTGGAGGGTATTATTTTCTGCCAACCTTGGGGTCAATGGGAAGAGGTACTTCAAGAAGTAAGGTTTCAGTTGGGTAGAAGTAGAAATGGGGAAGTGACTTAGGAGCCTACTAGGTTGGTCTAGACAAGACATGCCGATAGCCTGCATGAGGCTGTTGTCATGGATGGAGAGGTAGAAGCGCTGGAGCAAACTGTCCTAGACCAAAAAGACTCTCCAGGGGCGGGGGTCTACCAGGTCAAGTGGGAGCCCCAGTTCAATGCCTTTAGAGGAGGGTCAGAGAAAAGAACGCCTGACTGGATGACTCTGATTACTAGGCAGTGTGGAGACCACGGAGAATTTTGTTTTCACATTAAGTCCAAGAAGAATTTAATATTGAGTAACTGTTGAACAGAGTAATATCTAGTAAAAGGTGGATGGGTTGTCAGCATGGTTTCAAAGAGAAAAACGGGTTTCTAGGGCCCAAGGAAGCAGATACTTATAGACATTGATTTTTCTAAACAACCATGCCTCCAGCCAGGTGTGGTCCTGATCAGGCCAGGCCTATTTTCAACGACGAGTGACAGGACAGAATCACCGTGACAACGCCAGTCTAGAGATGGTACCCCACTGGGGCAATATTATTTGTCACACACGCGCTAATACCTTATTTACACAACAGCCCGGGTGCTGCCCAAGCAGAGGCCATAATGAGGGTCAGGATAATGAAAACTAGAACGTATCTAAGTGCTGTGATGCTCATTGACGCACAAGACAGAACTCTGTAGCGCGTGCCATTACCTCTAACCTCCTGCACGGGCAGAGAAACTGCCAGCTTAATGTATTTATTTCTACAGTAATGAAATTGCCTTTATAGAGACCTGGGGACCTTAACAAATTTTGTGTTCCGAGCACCAGGGGAAATTTCATTTCCAGTAGCTTCTTATTGGATGACAACTGGAGAAAAAAATTCCATTGCTAATAGCTCAGAAGTGGTTACACCAAAGTCATTGCATTTCCTATTAGGCAATGCACTCGGGATCTATTTTATTCTTACTATTTTTTTTTCAGGCAAGAGGGCTAATTGACATAAACCATCACTCTTGCTTCCTTCCCCAATTATAGCCACCTATCTTGGCAAGTCCCAAACCTCTCTACTGTGCCTGACCTTTGACCCTTCTTCCTTAGCCTGGGATCAGTGTCTTCCCTTCTTTGTGAGAAGAGAGGCTTTTGATTATGCACTCCTCCACCTCTCTGTGTTTGTGTGTGTCTTTTGTTTTTCTTGGGGGGGCACATATATGTATGAGTATGTGTTTGTATGTGGATTTGTTTGCATGTGGGTATGTGTGCCTCTGTGTGTGTGTGTGTGTGTGTGTGTGTGTGTGTGTAGGTCAGAGTCGGGTGTTTCCCACTGTTACATTATTGCTTGGAATCAGAGTCTCTCAATAAATCAGAAACTCAATGGCTGGATAGACTGGTTACTAACCCAAACCAGGCATTTGCCTGTCTTCACCCCCAGCGCTAAAGTCACAGGGGTGGGTTGCTTCACCTGGCTTTTTTTTCTTTTAGGTAGGATTTCACTGTAGGTTTGGAGCTTGTCCTGGAACTAGCTCTTTGTAGACCAGGCTGGCCTCGAACTCACAAAGATCCACCTGCCTCTGCCTCCTGAATGCTGGAATTAAAGGCATGCACCACCACCGCCTAGCTGTACCTGGCATTTTATGGGTGCCAGGAATCAAACTCCGGACTTCATGCTTGCCCGCATCATTTCCCTGGTGTCCAAGATGGACTGTTAAAGTCCCTAGATGTCTCTTCTCTGCTTTTGTACTTGAACAGGATAACCGTGTATCTTACTTCTGTTTACTTTTCTTCAGTCTGAATAATAGGCTTGTTTTTCAAGTATGATAATTTGTACATACTTGAACATGGGAGCCAAGGGAGCAGATGAGGTATAAATAAATATAGATGGCTTTTCTGTTTGGGTCCTTCCTTGTAGGACGATCTAAGTGTTTCTAACTCACTGCTAGTCTTCCTTTGAGAATCAGCACTCCTGATGCTCACTTTTAAGAACTCATTTAAAAACTAACAGCCAAAAACCAGGTACTTAACAACGGATCAAATTCTCCCCCTGCAGTCCTGGTAAACGAGTTTTTCATCCTTACCTTTGGAAAGGCAGCTGAAGGAAGACATATGTTCTTTGTTTCTGATGAGTTTAGTGTGTTGTACTGATGAGCAAATTCTCTCCTCTTCTCTACCTGCTTCCTCAGTGGCCGTGCCTGCAGCAGCTCCACCAGCGTGCCAGCCCAAGAGTGCCACTAACGGGCAGCATCCGGTTCCCCGCCTCTCCATTTCCTCCCGAGCCACGGTGGTAGCCAGGATGGAAGGAGCCTCCCAGGGAGGCCTGCAGACAGTTATGAAGTGGAAAACGGTGGTTGCCATCTTTGTGGTGGTGGTGGTCTACCTCGTCACAGGTGGCCTTGTCTTCCGGGCATTGGAACAGCCCTTTGAGAGCAGTCAGAAGAACACCATCGCCTTGGAGAAGGCAGAATTCTTGAGAGATCACATCTGTGTGAGCCCGCAGGAGCTGGAGACATTGATCCAGGTGAGCTGGGAGTGTGTGTCTAACATACAGCAGCCTTTGGCGATGGGTGGTGGACTAGACATGGCCTTTGTGAGTCAGGGACATCTCTGTGGAAGTCACATTTGTAATGTTTCTAAGAAGCCAGCAAGTGAGGGGCGTGCCAGTGTGGGAGTAGAGGGACCATGACATGGGACTAGGCTGTGTTATGTACCATTATGTTTTCAGATATGGTGACCAGAGGTGGCAGCAGGCAAAAGGATTTTAGATTTTTCAAATTCAAGTCCACTAATACATGTTGATTAACTTTGATTTTGTCATTCTTCAGGAACCGAACCATATACCTTATTTTTGAGACATTGTCTCTCACTAGACTTGCACTAGTCAAATAGGTGAGTCTGGTTGCCTGGTGAGCCCCAGGTATCTTCCTTACCCCGGCTCCCCAGTGCTGAGATCATAAGTGTATACCACCATGCCTGTTTTTTTTTTTTTGTTATTTTTTCATGGATTCTGGGGTTGGAACTCATTTTAATGACCAAGCTAATATCACCACTCCTTAAGATCAACTCTTATATTCTACATATGAGTGAGATTGAGTCATGGTTTGTTTACCTCTATGATTCCTCTGCTACATGAGCAGTGTATACACCCAAGATGATGTTATAATAATTGACAAAGTTCTACAGACATCTCTTAGGAAGTGGACACTTTACATATATTATTTCATACAACCTTTACAACAACGATAGTTGTAGGTTGGATATGATGTATCCTGAAAGGCTTAAACACTGAAGGCTTGGTTGACAACTGATGAACTTTTAAGAGCGACTGTATCATGAGGACCAAATCTCATCAGTAGATGGATCCACTGATGAATTTACACCTTGATGGAATTACTGGGAGGTGATGAAAACTAGGAGGTGGTGTCTGATGGAAAGAGAAGGTTGGTCTGGACCTGCTTGTCTCAGGCAGATCTTGTCCTGGCAAACTCTTGTTGCCCTGCCTTCCAGTTTCCTAGCAACCATAAGATGAGTAGCTTTTGCTCTACTACACGCTTCTTTTCATGCTGTTCTGCCTCAACACACACCCCTCACAATGGCGCCAAGCAAACATGGTTAACACTTCCCAAACGGTGACCAAAACAACTCTTTCTTCTTTTAAGTTGACCTCCTCAGATATTTTTCATGGTGATGAAACTAACACAGTGTTGGATGATGGCATTATTGACCTCACTCGTTGAGTGAAGAAACACATTCTAAAGGACTGAGTAACTTCCTAAGCACTGAGGTGTCAGCTATCTGGGGTTCAGAGTAAGGGGTTGTACCTTGTCTCATTCACCGAATTCACAAGTCTTGTTCTATGATGAACTTGATTCTCTCTCTCAAATACGTGCCTGCATTCAATCTTTCCGTTACTTATGAGCTAGAGAAGTACTGGGGTGCCTTGCATTTAACAGAAAGAATTTTTTGTTTCTTTTCTCCATACTTATCTAGTATTAGTCTTAGACTTGGGATATTTTCCAGTCTGTCTGCTATGACATAGGGTTTATTATCATGCCTATCTATAGTATTTATCACAATACACATTAAGTAGTTTTAGTTGCCAATAAAGAATTAGGTCATTGTGTTTGCTCTTCAAGTCTCGATACTTCATGTGTGTGCAAATATCCATGCTTGTGGATTAGTGCGACAACTGCTCACTTTGTCCCTGCCCAGGACTGGACATAGAGCTTCTAAGAAACATAATATTTAAAAATGATTTTCCTTAATAACTGGAAGGGTTTTATTTGAGTTGTGATCTCTTTGAGAAATATTACTGCATCTCACTGTAGTTCGGAAGGAGTGACCAGTGGATAGAAATTTAGATTTCAGTGCAGATTACTTTGAAAATGTGATAAATCAAAGCTCGAAGGCATAGTTTACATTACTGAGAGCAAATACAGAGTATTTGGAACAGCAAAATTCTGACAAAATGCCCAGATCGTTTGGAATAACCAAAGTTGGGATGGATTTTCTGATAAATTGAATCACTTTTATACTGTAGCACGTCTGAGAGACTGATAGTTCACTGTCCCTGAGAGTCAGAAAATGATAGTTATTATGAAGGAGATGGTCTCATTCATCACTTCTTCCGGTCATGTATCCATCTATGTATTCATTCTTGAAATTGCTACCGAGCTCCTCTGGGAGCAAGTTATGAATTGGGTGCTGGAGTTAGATAGGACGAGACCAAGACACAGCTTGAGGAAGTTGCTAGCCTCCCTGTGCTCTAATTTTTATTATCAAAAAAATGTAAACTCTTCTGCCCTTTGAATGCTGGAAGTCTAAAAGTAGGAATTCACTAGGAAGGGTTTAGACTGTGGCATGATAAACATTCCAAAGAGGTTGGTGATGGATGCAACTGTTTGACTTGCTTGGAGCTTCAAATAGTAGTTCTTCTATGGGGCCAGTGCTGGAATTGATAGACTGAACCCACAGTCTTGCAGATGGTAGACAAGTGATCTAGCCCCAAGCTGTAACTCAAGTCTCAAAGCGGCGTTTCCCAAGGAAGGTGTGGAAGTATGGAGTTTGCCTCCATGGTAGCATTTGACTGTATGCAGAGACATTTTTGGTTGTCATACAGCCGAGGTACTATAGATATCTCGTGGTTAGAAACCAGGGAGACCACTAAATAGCTTACAAAATACAGGATTAGTCTAGTCTAACACAAATTAGTTGGAAAGATCTGAAAGAAGAAGCATGTAACCAATAATTTGAATTCTTTGAATTTGAACTATTTGAAAAGTGTTAGACCCCCAAAAGCCAGGAAATCAGAAGTCTAGGGAAGTTCTATGGGTATTTATCTCCTTTAATCCTACAGCTATCTATCCCATAAAGATTGTCTTTGGTGCCTCTCTATAGATGTGGAAACAGACACCCGGAGGTGAAGTTATATGCTCTGAGTTACCTGGGTGGTAAGTGAATGACGCAGGGTTTATTGGTAGGCACGTTGATTGCCCATCTCATACCCTCCACCAGCGAGAGGGGTTCATTTAGGTAGATCATAGCTGAAGGGCATCTCAGTGACTTGAGAGAAAGCTACAGTGGTCAGCACAGCTTGGGCTGAGATGGGTGGGAGGAGGCGAGCAGAGATGAATCTGTGGGAAATAGACGGGTGGGATTTGAAGGCCCCTCCCATGCTTTTCAGAAGAGTTTGGAATTTATACTGTAGGAAGTGGAGACATGATAGAAATTTCATTCTAGAACAGTAAGTCTTTTACTGAAGAGGAGAATGGATTGGAGAGAGAGAAGTTGGAAGGCCAGTAGGGAGAATATTGCAGCATCGTGTAATGTAAAGGAGGGCAAAGAGTGCGGGTGCTAGAGTTGGATGGCTTTGCCCTTTTACCCACTGACCTAAGCTCCTCCTTATTGTAAAGGCAGTAGTCATCGGTCCTCACTCGGATTCCAGAGAACACGGACATGATCAGGGCTTGGTGGAGAACCGGCACGTCACTGGCATCCAAGAACTGCTGTCTCTTTATTGTAAAGGCAGTAGTCATCGGTCCTCACTCGGATTCCAGAGAACACGGACATGATCAGGGCTTGGTGGAGAACCAGCACGTTACTGGCATCCAGGAACTGCTGTCTCTTTCCCCGACCAACTCTCTGCCTAGCCTGCAAAGAATGTAATGAAATGAGCAAAGGCGACCATGCTCATGCATTCCTTTGGCTGTGGAGTAAGGCACCTCCAACGTGCTTTTGAACTCAGTTTCCATGGGATTGATCCGACAGTCATTGGTTCTGAGAATTTCTTTATCCCCGACACTCTCCCTTGTCACAGTGGCCTATCTCCCTGTTCCCAGTGCAGTTGCATCAGACACGTTTGCACTGACTAGTCTTGGCGAAAGCCGTAAAGCACTCATCTTCTGCAGTCCACAAAGCATAAAATCATGAGGAGGCTGCAGTCACTGACATGGGGGAAGGAAGGATGCTTCAGCTGTATGGATGACGATTTGCTGCAGTTATCAGGATTTGAGTTCTTGGGTTCTTTATGTCCTCAGTGGAACTCATGTGGCCACTTGGCAGCTGTTTCTTCTGATAGACGCACACTGAGAAGGGGAGGTGTTTTAAAGGAGAAGGTTTCTGGTTGCTTAATGCCCACCAGGGAGAACATTTTCCCCTCTCCCATTCTAAGTGCCTGGATGTAACAAGGATTTATTTTGCCCTCATTAGAAAACATTTCTTAGGTGTAGGTTGGTTCCATTCCAGCAAAATAAGTGTAAGCGGGCTACCTCAGTGCCAGAACACTGACTTTCTGGACACCCTACTGCTGCCTAAGATAGATTGCTTAGAACTCCCACGACCTTAACACTGGCATCTTCTGTTTGTGGCCATCTTTCTGTCCTAAGAATCCTGTAAGGTCCCTTTGCCTGACAGGCCTGGTCCAGACTGTGGTGGAGTATGGGACAGTGCTCACTCTACTCTTCCTTTCCCTCCATGGCTGGTCCAGTGACTCTCTGTTGGCAAACGGGAACTTTCTTATTGGATCTTACTTTATGATTTTTCTTTTTAAATTTTAGGTGGTTTGTGTTTGTGTGTGTGTATGCATGTGTGTATTTGTGTGTGCATATACACATGTGTATATATGTGTGTGTGTTTATATACATGTGTGTATGTGTGTATATGTGTGTGTATGTGCGTATGTATATATGAGTGTATGCATGTGTATATGTATGTATGTATATGAGTGTGTGTATGCATGTGTGTAATTATGTGTGTTTGTGTTTATATGCATGTGTATATTTGTGTGTGTGTGTGAGTATGTGTGGGTGTGGTGTGGGTGTATACTTGAGGGTAACAGAAGAATGCTTTAGATCCTCTGGACCTGGAGTTACATGAGGTTGTGAGTCTGTGTTTTATTAGGTACCGAGCCTGGGGCCTCTGGAAGGCCAGAAGGTATTATCACCCGCTGAGCCATGTATCCAGCCTATTCATGGTCTCTCATGTATTTTTAACATTTCCAAATGGAGTCTCAGGTGCTTTACT